CAACCAAGGTACATGCCCTTGACCGGAATCGAACCTGGGACCCTTGAGTCTGCAGGCCGGCGCTGTATCCATTGAGCCAAACCGGTTAGGGCAATAGACACTTTTTGAAAGTGGATATACAGAAGGCCAAGAGACATAGGAAAGAATGTTCAAAGTCACTAATCATCCAAGAGATGCAACTCAAAACAATGATGAGATACCATCTCACACCTGTCAGAATGGCTATCATCAACAAATCAACAAACAAGTGCTGGTGAGGATATAGAGAAAAAGGAACCCTCATACACTGCTGGTGAGAATGCAGACTAGTGCAGCCACTATGGAAAACAGTATGGAGTTTCCTCAAAAGAATTAAAATTGGAACTCCCATTTGACCCAGTGATCCCACTTCTATGAATATATCCCAAGAACTTAGAAACACCAATCAGAAAGAATATATGCACCCCTATGTTCATAGCAGCACAATTTACAATAGCTAAGATTCAGAAACAGCCTAAGTGCCCATCAGCAGATGACTGGATTAAAAAACTGTGGTACATCTACACAATGGAACACTACGCTGCTGTAAAAAAGAAAGAACTCTTACCATTTGCAACTCTAGGATGGACCTAGAGAGCATTATGCTAAGCGAAATAAGCCAGTTGGAGAAAGATAAATATCTCAAGATCTCACTCATTTCTGGAATGTAATGAACAACATAAACTGATAAATGAAAATAGATACAGAGCCCTAGCTGGTTTGGCATTGGCCTGCAGACTGAAGGGTCCCCGGTTCGATTCCAGGGGCACATGCCCAGGTTGCAGGCTCGATTCCCAGTGTGAGGTGTGGAGGAGGCAGCCGATCAATGATTCTCTGTCATCACTGATGTTTCTCTCTCTCTCCCTCTCTCTTCCTCTCTGAAATCAATAAAAATATATTTAAAAAAAATAGTTACAGAGACACAGAGCATTGAACAGACCATCAAAGCTCAGGGGGAAGGCAGGGGAGAGGGTAGGTGGGGTAAGAGATCAACGAGAGGACTTGTATGCATGCATATAAGCACAGCCAATGGACACAGACAGTAGTGGGGTGAGGGCATGTGCTGGGGGGCGGGAGAGGTCAATGGGGGGAAAAGGAGACATATGTAATATTTTCAACAATAAAGAATTAAAAATAAAATACATTTCCCGGGAAACCATAAAAATTCTAGAAGAATCCAAAGGCAACAAAATCTCAAGACATATGCCGAAGCAATTTCTTCACTGATACAGCTCCTAGGGCACTTGAAACTAAAGAGAAAATGAACAAATGGGACTACATCAAAATAAAAAGCTTCTGCACAGCAAAAGAAACCATCAACAAAACAACAAGAAAACCCACTGCGTGGGAAAACATATTTGCCAACGTCATATCTGATAAGGGCCTAATCTCCAAAATTTATAGGGAACTCATACAACTTAACAAAAAGAAGATAAACAATCCAATCAAAAAATGGGCAAAGGACCTAAATAGACACCTTTCAAAAGAGGACATTCAGAAAGCCAAGAGACATATGAAAACATGCTCAAAGTCACTAATCATCCGAGAGATGCAAATCAAAACAACAATGAGGTACCATCTCACACCTGTCAGAATGGCTATCATCAACAAATCAACAAACGACAAGTGCTGGAGAGGATGTGGAGAAAAAGGAACACTTGTGCACTGCTGGTGGGAATGCAGACTGGTGCAGCCACTATGGAAGACAGTATGGAGTTTCCTCAAAAAACTGGAAATGGAACTCCCATTTGACCCTGTGATCCCACTTCTAGGAATATATCCCAAGAAACCAGAAACACCAATCAGAAAGGATATATGCACCCATATGTTCATAGCAGCACAATTCACCATAGCTAAGATCTGGAAACAGCCTAAGTGCCCATCAGTAGATGAATGGATTAGAAAACTGTGGTACATCTACACGATGGAATACTATGCTGCTGTAAAAAAGAAGGAACTCTTACCATTTGCAACAGCATGGATGGAACTGGAGAGCATTATGCTAAGTGAAATAAGCCAGTCAATGAAGGAAAAATACCACATGATCTCACTCATTCATGGATAATAAAGACCATTACAAACTTTTGAACAATAATAGTAAGATACTGGGGGGTAGGGGAGGCCAGGGGATTGTCAAGGGTGGGGAAAAAAAGGGGACATATGTAATACTCTTTGTAATACTTTAAGCAATAAAACAATTAAAAAAAATACATTTCCCTAAAACATTTTTGTGAAAATAGCACCAGTGAATTATAAATGAAAATAAAAACACACACACAAAAAGAGTTTCATTCTAACTATGTTCAAAACCAAAGTTCTAGTCAATATATTATTACATATGTAACATTAGCACAATAAATACCTAAAATAATACAAGCACAAAATCATTTACCTTTGTGTGAACAGTGAATTTGACTTTATCTCTTTCACTAAGAGCATCAGAAATGTCCACTTGCAGAGCAGCATCACTTTGAAGATCTACATTTATTGCTTTAAGCTAGAAAAAGAAAATAATACCTTAATAAAAATTCTGTGGGCTTTTATATTATTTCATTCTTCTCCCAGATAATTAGATAATGCAAAAACAAAACTAAAGTAACAAAATACTTTTAAATCTAAAAAATACTCAATTTCATTTAATCTACATACATATTTTGGGGCAGTTACTTTGGGCATGCTATTATCCTAACTAATTTTCATCTATACCATTCAACTATGCTTCGTATGAGTTAATGTATTAACTATAATTGATTCTTTAATTTCACCCCAAAAGTATACTGTCTTCCAAGAAGATGTTTCATTAAAATTCAAATGTTTTAAAATTAAGGAATGTACCCACCTTTAAGAACAAGAAAAATAAAATGGCCATAATTTTAACTCTATTATTTTAATTCAAGAATACACAATGAAACTATTAAGTGTAGTTAAATATATTACAGATATGAAAAGTGCTAAAAAATGCTAACATACAGCACTCAATTCCTGTGATATAATTTCACATCTTATTCTGCAAGCTTTAATACATTAGAAGAATTGGATATGCTCTCCATTTACTTGTCTATTCATTTTATTTTTAATCCTCATCTGATGATATGTGTGTGTGTTTTTTTAAATCGATTCTTAGAAACAGGAAGGGAGAGAAACATTGATTGGCTGTCTCCTGTACACACCCTGACCCGGGATCGAACCTGATACCTAGGTATGTGCCTTGGTCGGAAATCAAACCTGCAACCTTTTTTTTTAGTGTATGGGACGACATTCCAACTGACTAAGCCACCGGGCCAGGGCTCCACTAACAATTCTTAAGTTTCATTAATTTTTCTTCCCCTTTAAACAAATAAGCATTCTAACATGGCTGGGAAGTTTGGAGACTTACAAAAGAATCAAATACACTAAAAGAGAAAATAAATCTCAGCCAGATGCAAAGATATGAAATATTTAAAGTCTAATTAACTAACCTACTTCAAATACTCTACTTGTAAAACCCAGAACTTACTTTGCCAATCTCACTTAGTCATTAGCATTTCAAATTTACAATGTAAATGGAAAAAATGCTGGAAACAAAATTGTTTGTACTTTAGAATTACAATTACAATTATATTTTAAAAAGTCCTATTAATAAAAGCATAATATGCAAATCAACCAAACGGTGGAATGACTAGTTGGCAGGGGGCAGGGCCAGCGAGCAGGCAGCGCCAGGCCAGCCAAGGTGTGTGCCAGTGGGCAGAGGGAGGGGACGGTGATCGGTGATGGGGGGGGGGTGGTGGTGGCGATCAGCTGTGGCAGAGGGGCGATTGTGGGGGCAGGGCTGGCTGCACGCTGGCCAGGGTCGTCCCCTGATAGGCCCGCCCAGTAGCCTCCCGCAGAGGGAGTCCACCAGTGGTGGTGGTGGCAGCTGAGGCTGTGGAGGAGCAGGGCTGGCCTGGTTGCCTCCCACAGAGGGAGGCCAGACAATGGCTTAGGCCCGCTTCCCCCCAGCCCTGAGGGACTCCCCGAAGTGCATGAATTTTCGTGTGCCGGACCTCTAGTGTATACATAAATGGTTTATAAGAAATACAACAAAATGTGAATAGCAGTGAATTTTCTTTACCAATATATATTCTTTTATTCTCCCAATTTTCCAAAATATGCATGTATTACTTTTATAAATAGGCAAGAAGTAAACCCTCTTTAAATAGAAATTCTGTAATTTATTAAAAGATAAATTTTATGAAGTTTTTCATTAAATAGGGTTGTTTAACTTTATTAGTAATGAAAAAAGTAACATTACTATTTCATTTTTGCACTATTGGTTCTAGACTGAGTAGACATATTTTTAAAAATAGCCTAGCTGGGAGTAAGCTCTCGCCTTTCCCTTCCCCTTCTTCTTTCCCTCAGGCTCTTTACCTTAGCCATTCTCTCTCCCGAGCTCAGAGGACCTTTCTTTTGCTTCTGTAACTTGTTTTCTGATCCTACACAGCCCAGCTGGCTCACTTCTACTACCTCTGTAACTTTCTAAATAAATTTTTCTTGTAATTTGGAGGAAAAAAACCTCTCTATGGGACTCTCATGTGCAGTAAGAATTGAGAACCACTAGACTAGATCAGCAATTTCAACCGGTATACCAAAAGAATTAAAAAAAAAAAAAAAATAGCCTAGCTGGTGTGGCTCAGCAGTTGAGTGTCAACCTATGAACCAGGAGGTCACAGTTTAGTTCCCAGTCAAGGCACATGCTGAGGCTACAGGCATGCAGGAGGCAGCCAAGCGATGATTCTCTCTCATCATTGATGTTGTTCTCTCTCTTCCTCTTCCTTCCTCTTTGAAATCAATAAAAACATATTTAAAAAAATACCATTGCATAAAATCGAACTTGAGATTCATAGAACAAATTAATCACTATTTAAATTGCATGAAACTATTTATGATGGCAGTTAATAAAAACTTTACTGATAACTTTAATAAGATTATTAAGTTAAATTTCAATTAGTAATCATATTTTTAAGTTTATGCTATAAATATACATAAAACCATTTAATAATGTTTTAAAATTGTTACTATACTCAATGCTACATGTAGCCCACTGACTGACAAAGAAAATGAAATTAAAAGTTGCCTTGAATTACTATGAAGTTTTCTTTTTCCAATTATCTCACTGCCTTTGCAATATTGGAAACATTAGAGAATACTTTGTTCTTTGGTTTTCTTATTTCTATTCAGCCTTATTTAGGTCTTCATATTGCCCTTTCTACCTTTTCTCCAATCCCTTACCATATTTTAGTTTAAGAAACCTGTTTCCTTTTTTCTATTTACTCACATTCAGGCCACTTTAAAAATGTTTAGAAGAATGAATAATGGCTCCCCCCAAAATATCTACATACAAATCCCTGGAACATGTGGATGTTACATTATATGGTAAAGAAGGACTTTTGCAGGTGAAATTAAATTAAGATTTGGGGATGGGGAGATGATCCTGGATTATAAAACTAGGCAATATAATGAAATCACCTCCCTCAAGTAATCCCCCCACATCACTACAAAAATTTCATTGAAAGCTAATCATTAGCTATTTCTTTAATTCTAGATGCATGTTTTTTACATTTTAACATATCTGAAATAAGAATGCCTTGCAACTGATGACAAATTACAGTTTAACTGGCATTTTTTTTTCTTAGTGGTATATAAATGAAAATGTATCTTCCAATCAATTGTACCCTAGATTTGATAAAATATCATGTTGTAAATTTGCTAAATACATAGAATGTATGGCAGATTTTCTTCTTTGTTTAAAGAAAAGTCCAGTAATTTTAGAGTGTGTTTATTAGGGGAAAGAATCAAAGCAAACAACTTGTGATTCAGCAAGTGTGTCTGAGGAAATGCTAATTAGTCTACATTCACTGGTTTAATCCTTATCTGGTCAATAAACATTGTACTTTCTTTTGTCAAATAATAACTAGGTTAAACATTTGTCAAGAAATTTGTCATGGTCAAGAAAAAGACTAGAAGATAAAAAAGATTAAGCAACATCAATACATAATCATTAGAAAAATAATTTAAAGACCTATTGTTGACAAATTAATTCTCCACATATAAATATTTAGTAAAGAAGACATTCATTACTAGTTTACTACACTGGCTCATTTATAACAAAGTATCTACTTTAGAACCTAAAATATTAGTTGTTTATCTTTTGCCAGAAAAGCCAATGTATAGAGATGGGTGGATGAAGGAAGAGGAAATGAAGGAAAAAACTTTATTACAATAGTCTCTCAACTGGTCTCTTGCTTCTGCCCTTTCCCTTATTCAATCTACTAGTAGCCCGGTGCACGAAATTCGTGCACATTAAAAGGGAATTAATTAGCGGAGAGATATTAATATTGCCATTTGCCCTTTCTCTATAATAGAAGTGTGAGAGATGAAAGGAAATTAGTAAAATGTATATGAAAATAATATATAAATTTATTAATAAACAGTAACAAAAGGATATAACAACAACAGAGGCATGATATAAAAACGACAAAAACATATGAAAACAACAAAAACATGATATGAAAACAACAGTGATGTAAACAATGACTGATAAAGTGATTAAACTTATTCTAATATCTCCCTGTACACCACATTAAGAGTGAAAACACTTTCAGAGTGCTTGACTAATTTCCCTTGTGATGAAGTATTTAGAACTTTAACTGTAACGTCACATGCTCTTCAAACTCGAGAGAAAGCAACATATAACTGACCATGTGC